TATTACAAAGGAAACCAATTATATTGAAAGAGTTATTCAAAGTTTAAAAACCCCAAACTTGCAGTTAACTTCACAGAGCCCCTGAAATCTACTCCCAGATGCCTTTGGGATCCCTGAATTCCTAGCTGAGAACCAATGAACAGGATGGTGTCTAGGGGCCTTTTAGCTCTGGATTCTATGAAAGCAGCGCTGGAAGAGATTACAAAGGAGGGATTTGGGCAACCAGAAGGCCTTTTGGGGCAATGAGTGCTGGGGTTATCAGAAACAAGAGACTCTGGAGCGTAGGAGAGACATAGCAGGCTGGCACAGAAACAGGAAGTCCCAAAGAGAGACTTCACAATTTTGCCAATGACTTGCCTGGCTCCCATTGCCTTCCCCAGCAGCTCTAAAGTCCAGCAGTGAGGCCATGCTACCCACAGAAGGGGTAAGGGACATGAGGGCATTTTGTAGCCCTTCAGGTGGGCTGGTTTATGGAGAATGGGGGACAAGGGAAGGACTAGGGCAGAAGAAACATCCGATCAATTCAAAATCGCAGAACACAGAACGTCCATACTGGAAGACAATGTAGAGATCACTGAATGCAATCCCTTCTTTTTACTACAGGGGAAGCTGATGCCCAGAGAGGGGAAGTGTCTTGTCTGAGGTCACACAGTGATCTGTTGGCCGAAACAAGCCTCTGCCCTGAGTCTCCTGGCTTTCAGCTTGATATGCTGTCTTTTGGTCACAGATTAGGAGAGAATCAATTAATGAATCAATTGCCAGGCACCGTGCTAGATGCTAGATATACAAAGAAACCCCTACCCTCATACAGTTTACATTCTACTAAAGTATACTCATGTGTATGTGCTTATGTTATTATACAAACATTGTGTATATGTATGTAAATGTAAATATATAGTATATATCACACATGAGAAGATTTTCATATTAATTCATATGATATGTTTAATGAATCATTATACATATATGGACTAATATGTAAATTATAAATTCTCTTCTCATACACATGTTTGTGCTTATGTATGTGTGTATATACATATATCTTTATCACACGAACGTGCATATATGTAAATACATAGTATATATTATAGACAACTGTGTGCTTATATATGTGTGTATACACATTTATATATCACATAAACATTGTATATATGTATGTGTGTGTATACATATATCTTTATCACACGAACGTGCATATATGTAAATATATAGTATATATTATACACAACTAGGTGCTTGTCCTGCCTCAGACAGGTGTGACCCAGAGCAAGTCATTGAATCTGTCTCTGTCTTTATAAAATGCAGACAAATCATCATAGGGTCATTATGAGGACCAAATGAGATCACACATGTACAGGGTTTTTCAAACTTTAAAAGTGTTATCTAAATGCTAGTTATTATCATTACACAACACAAACATGCCATGACTGGAGGGGGGGTGGGGCAGGGAGTTGAGATCCTCAGCAATCAAAAGAACATACAGAAACAGGGAAGTTAGGAAGAAGGATGGTCTTCAGGGAAAAGGGAATATTATACATTGTGTTTTGGACGTGTTGTGTTGGGAATGTCTATGCAACCTCAAGGGGAAATGTCCAGTAGTAAGCCAGAATTGTGGGACTGAAGCCCAGGGGATAGATGGGAAATTTTTATCTGTATGAGGTCCATGGATGTCACTGGTATTTGTCTACTCTTGGGATTTGAGGCACAGGTAGTATTAATCCCAAGGTGTAAAGGGAGGAAAGTATAGGATATGGCCAGGAGAGGGTGAGAAGTCCAGTTGGGCTGGAGCATAGAGTGCATAGGAGGGAATTGTATGAAAAGAGCGATGACAGATGGTGGAGGCTTTGATTGCCACGCTGGGAGTTTGACCTGGGCTTGGGAGACAAGAAGTTGCTGCTGAGGGGTTTTGAATGAGAGGAATGATGAAACGGAAACTGTCTGGCAAGAGGCTGGATCAGAGGCAGGGAGAGAGCCAAGGGGGGCCGGCCCATTTTCCCATGTATTTCTCTTACGTATTACATATGCCTATGTATTAATTCTTGTATGTGTTGTCACCCCTGTTAGAATGTAAGCTCCCCGAGGGCAGGGACTATGTCATTTTTCTTTGTCTATAGACGGCTTCTGCAGGAGTCTGTCGGGGGGGGTGCAATGAAGGTTGTCAGTGGGGAGGTGGGAAGGGCTTGTTCTCCCAGCAGTGGGAGCAGAGAAAAGCAGTTGGAATGGTGGAGTGGGTAGACTCATTTACGCTTGTCATCTAATTATTTATGGGGGAAGAGCCTGAGAGAATGTCAAGGTTTTAAACATGAGAGACAAATCAGTAAGTCAATTAATAAGCATTTATTAAGCATGGCACTGTGATAGATGTCAACATGTAAAAATGAAACAGTTCCTGCCCTCAGGGGGCTTACATTCTAACACGGACAACATTGCATACAGAAATCAATATATAGGCGTATATAATATATAAGAGAAATGCATGGGAAAAGTGTCGGGGCAGGGAGGGCACTAACAAAAGGCTGTGGGAGCAGAGCTTTAAAGAAAATAAAGGTCTCTAAGAGGTGGATGTGATGAGAAAATGCATTCCAGGCACAGAGGAGGGCCAATGCAAAGGCATGGAGGTGGGAAATGGAACAGCAAGAAGACCAATTTGACTAGGCTACAAGTGCAGGGAAGTAATATGAAAAAAAAAAAGAAATGGAAACAGAGAAGGCAGAAAGAGGAGCGAGTCTGGGGAGGAAAAGTGGTCAACCTGGCTTGGGATGTAACATATGAGTATTCAGTAGATATCCAGGTAGAAGTGTCCTGTGATTATCAAAGTTGGCATTTAGTCAGTCAGTAAACTTTTACTAAGCACCTACTATGTGCCAGGCACTGAGCTAAGAGCTGAGGTTACAAAGAAAGGCGAAAGACAGGAGCTCACAATCTAATAGGGGAGACATCATGCCAACAGCTATTTACAAACCAGCCATAGGATAAATTGGAGATCATCAACAGAGGGGAGACTCTACCATGAAGGGAGATCAAAAAAGGCTTCTTGTGGAAGGTAAGATCTTAGCTGAGACTTGAAGGAAGCGAGGAGGTGGAGATGAGGAGGGAGAGACTTCCAGGCATGGAGGAGAGTCAGAGAAAATGCAGAGTTGGGAGATGGAGGGTCTTGTTTGAGGGGCAGCGGGCGGCTGGTGTCACTGGATTGAAGAGCATGCATTGAGGTATATGATGTAAGATGATTAGAAAAGCATGATTTTTATATTTGATCCTAGAAGTGATAGGGAGCCACTGGAATTTATTGAGGAGATGTGTGGCATGTGTGAACCTGCAATTTGGTAGGATTAGTTTGGCAGCTGAGTGGAGGATGGATTGGAATGAGGGGAGACTTGAGGCAGGCAGACACTCCCCCACCAGCAGCTATTGCAGTAATCTAGGCATGAGGTGATGAGGGCCTAGACTAGGATGGGGGCAGTGTCAGAGAAGAGAAGGGGGTATATTAGAAAAATGCTGCAGAGGTGAAAACTACAAGAGGTGCTGCAGAGGTGAAATCCACAAGAGATGCTGCAGAGGTGAAATCCACAAGAGATGCTGCAGAGGTGAAATGCACAAGAGATGCTGCAGAGGTGAAATTGATAGGCCTTGGCAACAGATTGGATATAGGAGGGTGAGAAATAGTGAGGAATCCAGGCTGACACCTAGGCTGGGAGCCTGAGGAACTAGAAGGATGGTGGTACCCTTGAGTGTAATAGGGAAATTAGGAAGGAGGAAGACTTTGAGGAGAAAGATGAGTTCAGCTTGGGGCATAATGAGTTTAAGATGTCTATGGGACATCCGGTTAAAGATGGCTATCTAATAGGCAGTTGAAGATTCGACAACGGAGGTCAGCAGAGAGGTTTACAACAATCCTTATAACAATAGGTACTATTACGATCCGCATTTTATAATTGAATTCACTGAGGTGCAGAGAAGTTAAATTGTTTGACCTGGGTCATACAGCTAGTAAGGCAGGATTTGAACTCAGGTCTCCATTACTCTAGAGAGACAACTCTCTACCTATACCATACTGCCATTTAATTGTTGGGGTCTGGAGCTCAAGAGAAAGAGCATGGCTAGGAATGTTGGTTTGTTCATAGTTGGTGGAGAGGTGACAGTGACTATAACAGGAGATATATATATATATATACATATACACATATACATGTATATGTGTATATGTATATGTAAATAGTTGGCAAAGGAGTGAGCAGAGAGAGAACAGAAGAAAATGGAGGAGACAGGAGGTGCTTAGGTCCTTGCCTTCCAGGCTCTTTTTGGGGACACACAACCCTGACTGAAACTATTACAAGAGAAAAAAAATTTTTTAATTGTTTGGCCCAAACTTATGATTTCTTTGGGGTAGGGAACTCCCTGCAAAGAAACTCTTTCTGCTGGTGCAGCTCAGTATCTCATTTCAAATTGGAGGGTTACTTAACCTGGACCTGTTTCTTCATCCGTAGAATGAGAGGGGTTAAATAGAAGGCCTCTGAAGGCCCTTCCTTCAGAGCTTATGTATGAGCCTATGATCCTGACACTTCACCTTTCTAGGCCTCAGTTTCCCCAACCGTAAAATGAGGAAATGGGCCTTTTCAGCTCTCAACGTGTGACCCCCTGAGTTCTTCAACTTAGAATGTCAGAGTTGCCTGGGACAGTGTGAGGTTCAGTGATTTGCCTGGGGTAACACTGCCAGGCTGTATCAGAAAACCCTGGTCTTCCTGACAGAATGGTTTATCTGAGCTGGATGGTGGGGTGCAGACTTCTTAAATATGATAGAGGCTGTCAGAGGCAGGGGGGTAGTCTGGAAGGTCAGAGAAGCAGAGGATCGCCTGTGGCGTTTTGGAGGAGCGCATGGGAATCCTGGGAGGAGAAGGCTTCCTAGAGAAGGGGGAGCCATGAAGGCCCTCCCAGCCCCAGGAAGGGAGCAGGGGGCTCCTTCCCTTCCTCAGGTCACTGAGCCTTCTGGGCTCATATTGCAGGCAGAAGACTCCCAGAGACATGGACCATGCTGAGCTGCTTGGGGCTGGAGCCACCCTTCTGCTACTCGGGGCTGTGGCGGGCATGTGCGTGTGGTGCCCCCGCTTAGGTAAGGCTCCCAAGTCCCCCAGGACCCCCCCGGTCAGGTCCTGGCTCCATGTCCCTGTCCTTTGCCCTGGGCAAACCTGCTTTGCCGACCGTCTCCTCAAAGGGAATGAGTGAGTCTCTCCTTTCCTCCCTAGTCCTCCCCAGGGGAGCCATGGGCTTCTGCAGGGAGGATGAGGGGAAGAGTTAGAGGTCCTTTGGCCCAGGAATAATAATAATAATTATAGTTATCATAGACGTATCATCTCATTTGATCTTCACAACAACCCTGGGAGGTAGGGGCTTTCATTATCCCCATTTTACAGATGAGGAAACTGAGGCAAACAGAGGCTAAATAATTTGCCCAGGGTCACACAGCTAGTAAGTATTTGAGGCTGGATTTGAACTCAGATCTTCCTGACTCCAGGTCCAGCGCTCTATTCACCACAACCCTAGCTGCCTCTAAGGTCCAGCTCAAAGGTTAGACTTTCCTTTAAGCAGAGGCTGATGGCCATATGGTATGTTATGGTGAGGAGTCCTTTCTGGGGATAAATTAGATCGGTTGGCCGCTAAGGTCCCTTCCAATTCTCAGATTCTGGGATCTTGTAATTCTCACTGTCTACTCTGGGCCTCAGCTTTCTCTCCTATAAAATGATAGGGGGAGCCAGGAAGTTAGTGAATCAAGCAATTATTAAGTGCTTACTGTGTACCAGGCACCATAATAGGCAGGGCTCAGTGATCTCAACTAAGGTTCTCATCTTTTCCATCTAATGGAAAATGGGAAAGGGTCCAACCCCTTGGTTTAGCAAAGTAGGAAACTGAGGCCCAGAGAAATGAAAGGACCTGTAGTAAATAGCTAACTCAAGTTTTGAACCCAGGTCCCTTGATTCTAAATTCTCTCCCCTCAGTGCCTTTAGGATATGCACTTTGGGGTCTTTGTCTTAAGGACCACCTTTCTACCTCACATGTCCCATCTGGATCCCTCTTTGACCAATGTCCTACCCTAGAGCCTGGCCACCTCAGGGCTGAGGCCTCTCTCAACGAGCCTGCTCTTTGGGAGGCGCTCCCCTGAGCCAGGCCTCCCTTTGCCTCCAGACTCCCAAGGCATCTTTTCTTCTCCTAATGTGGAATTTATTCTTCCAGGTATGAGAAGGTCCAAGCAGATCTTCTATGAGCAGAGGTAAGTCCCCTTCCCGCTCACTAACCCTGCTCTAAGCGCCTGCTGGGGCCAGGGCATGGCACTAGCCGCAGCTGATACATCCTTCCCCTGCGGGCTTCTGTATCCGTGGGTGACCATGCATTTTTCGTGTATCGGTCCTCAGGTGTGCCACTTGCAGCCTGGGTGACCATGGATGAGGCATTTGATAGCTAACATTTCAATAGCATCTTATGGTTTGCTATGTAAGTAATACATAAGCGTGTGTGTGTGTGTGTGTGTGTGTGTGTGTGTGTGGTTCTCACAACTTTGTGAAGCAGGTACTATTATTATCCCCATTTTGTTGGTATTGTTGTTCAGTCATTTCAGTCATGTCAAACTCCTTATGGCCCCATTTGGGGTTTTCTCGGCAGAGACACCAGAGTGCTTTGCCATTTCCTTTTCCAGACCGTTTTTTCAGATGAGGAAACTGAGGCAATCAGGGTGAAGTGACTTGCTCAGGGTCACACAGCTAGTGGGTGTCTAAGGTCAGATTTGAACTTAGGAAAATGAGTCTGCCTGACTCCAGGTCTGGCATGCTATCCACTCTACCTCATGGCTGCCCTACCCCCATTTTATATGAGGAAACTGAGGATAAGAGGAGATGGAATGACTTGCCCAGGGCCTCACCGCTAGTAAGTGTCTGAGACAGGTCAAATTCAGATCTTTTTGACTCCAAGTTCAGAGCTCTAACCACTACAATACACTGCCTCCTGACCCTTCCCTACCTAACTTCTGTAGGCCTCAGTTTCCTCATCTGTAAAATGAGAGGGTTAAATGAAATGACCCCACTTTATTGCACGTTTGTATATATCTAGGCCCACTGTGCGTCTGTATGCATTGTGGACGTGTTTACACTAATACACTTAAGACACTCAGGAGTGTTTCCCTACCACGTTTCTCCCGGCCTTTGTTGGCTCAGGTCTTCCCTTCTGGATGAAGGAAGATGCTTCTAGGCTTACTCATGAGCATCCTAGACCAGTGACCCCATGCCATGTCCCTCCCTGTCTCCTGACTCTGCAGAGCCTTCCACACTTGATGCTACCATCTTTGGCACCCCCCTCCAAGCTCTAAAATCTGCAGCCAACCTCATCGGTGAACCCCAAACCTGAACAACCAGCAGGGCATAGGGTCACAGGAGCTGGGAGGGACCTCAGAGACCATCTAGGCTGACCCTCTTATTTTACAGATGGGGAAACTGAGGCCCATGGGGGTGAAAGGATTTGCCCAGGGTCACACAGTCAGGATCATGGTGCTGGAACTGGAAGGAAACCTAGAGGTCATCTAATCCAATATCCTCATTTTACAGATGGGGAAACTGAGGAACTGAGAGGTTGAAAAACCTGCCTATGGTCACACAATTGGGATCATGGAGCTGAAAAAGCCATAAGGGCATAGGTCTAGAATTCCAGAATTGTAAGAGACCTCAAAGGCCATCTAGTTGTAAAACAACTGCTTGTTTTACAAAGGAGGAAACTGTCTCAGAGAGGTTCAGTGAATTATTCAAGGTCACACATGAAATAAGCAGTATAGCAAGGATTTGAACCCAGATCCAGGCCAGGGTGAATATTCCTCCTGAGTGGCCCACTTCTTTCCCAGAAGGAGAATCCACTGGGATGGGCTATGATGCTTCTGCTACAATTATCAATCAATCAGCAAACATTTGTTAAGCACCTACTATGTGCCAGGCACTGATTTAGGTGCTGAAATACAAAGATAATGAGTCCCCATCCTCAAAGAGTTTATATTCTAATAATGATGATGATGATGATGATGACAGGCTGGGTCTGGGCTAGTGGAAGGGGCCACTCTGGGCTTTGGGTGACAGATCAGCAGCCAGAATGGACAGACCTGTGAGAGCTCAGAGCCTCGGCAAGCACACCCAGTCAGAAGGCCTGAAGGGCTCCTGCAGCCACCCTGAGGGCCATCCCCAGATTTTATTCAGATTTTATTGTACCTTTGACCTTGAGGCGGGTGTGGGAGGTCTATTGAGGTGGTGGTAGTCACCCTCACACCTAGTTCATTCTTCCCCCTCAGCCCATCCAGGAGATCATTCCCCTCCACAATCTATCCAAGTAAACTTACCTTGAATTAACAACAGCTCAAATTTATACAATGCTTTAAGGCTTGCAAAGCACTTTGCAAATGTTATCTCATGTTATCCTCATAATAATCCTGGAATACAAGTGCAGATGGTGAACCTGAGGCAAAGGGAGGTTAAGTGACTCATCCAGGGACACACAGGTAGTAAGTATCTGGGACTGGATTTGAACTCAGACCTTCCTGTCTCCAGGCCTAGTACTCTATCCATTTGCTTACTGCTTTGGTGTAGTTTCCTTCACTGCCTTGAAATCAAAGGAAATCTTTCTACTGTCCTACAATCTAATGGTCCAACCTGACCCTTGAGAAAGAAAGAAAGAAAGAAAGAAAGAAAGAAAGAAAGAAAGAAAGAAAAAGAAAAAAAGAAAGAAAGAAAGAAAGAAAGAGAGAGAAAGAGAGAGAGAAAGAAAGGAGGAAGAAAGAAAGAAAAGGAAAGAGAGAGAAGAGAGAAAAAGAGAGAAAAAGAAAAAGAAGGAGGAAGAGAGAGAGGGAGGGAGGGAGGAAGGGAAGAAAAGAAAAAATGAAGAAAGGTGAATGAATAATTATTTATTAGGCTTTTAAGAATTAAGACATCAAAGATACTGACTCCTATCCAATGAGATACTGCTTGGTAAAACTTAAAGTGCTTTATAAACTCTAGCCATCATCATCATCATTGCTCTTCCCACATGGCAGCCCATGAGCAGATCACCACCCGACATCCAGACATCCTCTTCAAGTCAAAAGTCCGAGTCTGGCTGCACATTCACAACCTCACTTAGCTGGCCACCATGAAAGGAAGTATAGGGTTTTAGGGCCCTTTCTGACCGTGCCAGTTGTCAACGCTGTAGCCTTCCAGCCAGAACTCTGTCTCAAGGCCAAGCCACCCTGTGTTCCACTGGTCGCTGCTCCCTGCTCAGAAGGCTCTCAATGACAAGTGTTTGACTCCCTGAGGTGTTGCAGACAGTGCCTAGTCTCTTGAGAGGGCTGTGGACCCAAGGAGCATGCTGAGACTCCAAACTCCACACCTCAGAGTCAGTCCATTCAGCCCACCATTGGCACACACACACAGGCAGCCAAGGTGGCTCCCTCAGAGGAAGGATGGGTCGCAGAATCTCAGAGTTAGGAAGGGTTTCAGAGACCATCCATCCAGTCCAGCTTGTGCCTGGCCAAGAATTCACTCTTGTTATCACTGCCAGCACTGTGTGGGAGAGGCGGGCTTGGAATGCAGATTCCAAGCATCTTTCTTTGGCGTTTGCACACTCCATGGAGTGCCGTCCTCTGCCCTGGTCTGATCACATTTTAGGAGCATAGGTATGGAGATGGAAGGAACCTCAGCAACCAGCTATTCCAAGCCCCTCATTCTACAAAAGAGGAAACTGAGGCTAAGGGGGTGATGGTGGTGACTTGCCCAAGGTCACACAGACAGTAAATGTCTGAGATTGGTTTTATAGATACTCAATAAAAGTTTTTTGAATTGAGTTGATAAGAAGGGATACAGATCAGAGATCTAAATATGGAATAGGCTGGAAGACCTGGAATCATAGAGTTGTGTAGTCCAACCCGCTCCATTTTACAAATGGGAAAACTGAGGCCTAGGAGTGACTTGCCCAAAGTCACACAGTTAAGAGTCAGAGCTGGGATTTGAACCCAGCTCCTATGACTCCCATCAATGTTCTTTCTGCTCTATTTATCATGAGGCTGGTGTCTCTGAAGCCACTGAACCTGCAAATGGGTTTTTGCTTCCCTGGTTCTCTCTCCAAACCCCTTACCTTGCACATTCAAGCAGACTTCTTGGTAACACCTTCATGCCCATTCTTGGTACTTCTCCGGGTTCTGTCCCCCCGCCATCTTTGTAAAGGCAGGCTCAGATTTGAACTCTCAGTTCCCCAACCTGCCTCCCTATCCCATCAGGCAAGCCTAGATCCTCTGAACTATGACATTCAGGGCCAACCTTTATGTTCAGTGGCCAGGGCTGTGGGGGCAGACAAGACTGGCTGTGTGCTGACCCCAGGATATTCCATTCCTTCCCCCCCATTTCTTCTTTTTTTTGGGGGGGAGGGAAATAATCAAGGTTAAGTGATTTGCCCAGGGTCACATGGCTAGTAAATGTCAAGTGTCTGAAGCCGGATTTGAGCTCAGGTCCTCCTGACTCCAGTGCTCTCTCCACTGCACCATGTAGCTGCCCCTCCTCCATTTCTTTTTATCAAAATCCTTGCCTCTGGCCAGTGCAGAAGAAAAATTTGCTAATTAAGTTCTGGCCAATTCACTTTCTACTCTAATGACCTGAAATGTACACCTGCCCCCCCAACAAAAAAAAGACCCAAAAAAGACCCAAAAAACAAAACAAAACAAAACAAAAAAACCCCAGAAACAAAAAACAAAAACAAAACCCAACTGTGTGTGCAAGCACCATCTAATAGGTAAAAGACTAAATTGAAATCCTAATGCAGACTAGGAGACTATAGAGAAAGGAAGTTTGGAATGGTGACCTGGAAACCAGAGGACCTGAGTTTGAATTCTGCTTCTAACGCTTACTACCTATGTGACCTTGAGCCATCATTAAACCTCTCTGGGTCCCACTTTCCTCATCTGAAAAATGGGAGGGTTGGACTGGATCAGGGAGTCTGAACCTCTTTTGTGCCATGGACCCTTATGGCAGCAAATATACTTTATTGAAACACAGATAGCAATGATAAGAACAAAATGTTCACAGACCCCAGAACTCTGGGAGTAGGAAACCTCTCGAGTCCTCTCTGGTGTTAGATCTGTGATTCTCTGGTCCTAAGACACGGCAATAAGGGAAAGAGCAAATCCGCTGTCCATCCAGCCAACGTCCTCGTGGGTGAAAGTCCCTGTGGGAGTGTGTGAGCAGGGGAACCGCACTGGGGGCCAGTGTCCGTGCACATCAGCTGCCCTGCCTTCTCTCATTTCCTTCTGCAACTGAAAAACCACAATTAGATGTCAAGATAAAGGAAGCCCCACACCCACCCTAGCGGAGGTTTGTAGATGCTTCACTGGCCTGGTTCTGAGAACCACTGTGGAGGGAACAAGTGGGAAACAGGCTGGGAACAGAGCTGATGCAGATGAGAGCTAGGACCAGGAAATGGGGAGGAGAGAGGAAGAAGTGAGACAGAGGAATGAGGAACCAGAGGATAGGAGTGGAGCTGGGCCAGGTGGGGCAACTCCTTCTACCAATGCAGGTCGGCCCCTTTTCTGCAACTTAGAGTCTTAGCCCGCTAGAGCATTGAGAGGTTAAGTGATTTGCTCAGGGACACACAGTCAGTATGGTCTGAGGTTGGACTTGAATCCAGGTCTTCTGGAGCTAAGGCTGGCTCTCTATCCACTATACTACATGGCCTCTCTAGATACCTAGATGTAGGTATATATGATATAGATGTGGGTGATAATGTTATAGCTGAAAGGAGAAAGGGGAATGGGGAGAGAAAGAAGGAGGGAGAGGAGAAGAGGGTAGGGGAGTAGAGGAAGGAGAGGATGGGAGAAAAGAGGAGAGATGAGGGAGGGGAGGAAAGAGAAGAGAAGAGAAGACACATGAGAGAAGGGGAGG